GATCCAGGGTAGCATTACCTCTGGTTGGTCGATCTACTATTTGCTTGAAACTGTGTGCTCTACAGAGAGGCTGGATGTCAGTTCTGTTAAAATCACCTAGAATCACAAATTCAGCATCGGGGTACCTCAATTTCAGGATGTCAACTGAGTGAATGAAATGGTCAAGTAATGTGTCTTGATGTGGAGAGCCTGGAGGGATATATACAGCTCAAACGACTTTACGAGATACTGAGCGAGGGAGTCTCTCGAATCCACACCCACAAACACTCAAGTTCATCTGGGATGTCGATGTTGGAAATGATGCGTGATGCGAGTTCATTCTTGACGTATACTGCGACGCTGCCACCTCGCTTGCATTTCGATGGTGTGTGTAAATTTCAAACCCATCAATAGATAGTTGGTCATTGGAGATGTTAGGGGTTTGCCATGTTTCAGTCACAACTGCTAATTCAGCTTGACGGTGTTGCAAGAGTATCCCAAGTTCGTCCACCCGTGAACCACAGACCATGGGTTTGTCATGAAGATACAAGGAAGATACTGATACGTCTTGTCCTTTTTGGCAGGCTTTATGGTGCTTGGTTTGGTGCTCTTGGGTATAGATGTCAAGTACCGATCGGTGTACCTATCGCTGTAGTCCAGTGGCAAATGGGTTGCAGACTTTTCATCGCAGATACTAATGAAAGGACGAAAAGGTCTGCGGAAGTTTCTTCCTGCACTACGCCCTCTATAGTGACGGTTTATGCCTACTTTTTTTATAACAGCAAGCACTTCACGAGGGGGACTATTGTTACAATTAGCTTTAATGGCCAAGAGTTCAGCTCGTTGATACTTGAATTGGGTTGAATGTCTGGAAACCGGTATCTTTTGTCAGTGTTTGCAGTGGTGTGGATGTCACTAGTGTAACTACCGGTACTGGGCATGGCCATGGTTTTAGAAGAGGGAGGGGGAAGCCTCGCACGATGGCCAGAGTCATCGTTCCAATGAGGACCAGGGTTTAAGGAAACATCCATATACACTGTTATATCTTGGAGAGGATCCTGTACAGGAACTAGTAAACTAGTTTGTCCGTGTTTTGACCACTTGGATAGGGGTACTTTGGTGGGGTGAAATCCTTTTGGTGCTAACTTACTAAGACGTGGAGAAAAAATGTACAAATGACTGCCACAGTAACATCATCAAAGGCATCAAAAGCACCTCAACATTAATTTAGTTTTGTTCAGCACGCTGAGCACCCAGGCAAGACACACACATAAGCCCTTACTGTCCTTGCTACATTGCATGTACTTTTCATGCCCAATCTCAAGGAACATCAGGAGAGCGTTTTCACATGTAGATAAAAGCAGGATGGTTTAAACATGGATTTTCCTTCACGAACGGCTTGGCGGTGGTAAATGCATGCGTCTCGTGTGCATCGTGAACTGGTTTCCGCTGCCACGCGCACTGCAGAGAAAACTGCCAAAGTGATGTTCGAGGAAAGTCTAGTCTAAAGTGATAATCGAAGGATCTGCTGATTTAGGCGCATGCAGGAGGAGAAGAAAAGGATTTCTGCTTATTGATTCGCAGAACTTGATCTGTGTTTTCTGTGAACGTATTTTCCGTTTACATGTATTTTATTTGGAGGTCTGAGTACTGCTCGTAGTGATTTATGTCGTGGATTTTTTTGGCGAATTTTCCGCCACCGTTGCATTTTGCAAGCAGGTGTGCAGCTCATGGTTTCACACAGTAGTTATGGCATAAATGGCAGACCGTGCAGCGCATCAGCAAATAAACTGCCTGGACCTCAGTAATAAATCCCCACTTCTCAAGTAAACTTCAATCTGTTTTCATCATTTTCATTTTCTGATCAATTTTTTTGTGGTAGGCCCTAATCCGGTAACTAATAGGGAGAAAATTCCAACCGACATTAACCGTTCAGGCAATGCACATGACCCGATACCACATTCGGTCTGCAAATCGCGAGCAAGTATTGCGTTGAGCACACAGCACGGATAAAATCTACTTTGTACACACAGTGTACGAATTCCGTTTAATGGATGAAAATCAGTCTACAACCATGCCACAACATGAGGTTGTTTTGGAGCTTATTTTCCTGGATTATTTTGTCCATCTTGGTGTATGGAAGTTTTTAACCCACCGTTCCCGTAGATAAAGGTAAAACAAGGTAAAACGAGAGTAAACAAATTTTTCTTTTTGGTTTCTTAGACCCTGGATGTCAGTTGTAATGCAATGAAGACATCCTCCAACCTGGGTGGGGGGGGGGGGGGGAGGCAAACCAGTATGGTCGAAGAACAAAGGGGATAAGGGAACAAAGGAGTGTGGTAGGAAAGAAACAGAAGAGGTTAGAAGGAAGGAATGATGCAGGGGGAACAAAGGAGAGTAGAAATGAATAGGGTGTTAGTGTGAATGGGGAAGGGGGGGGGCAACAGGTGGTGGAGGAAAAGGGTAAAATTTAGTGGGAGGGCAACAAAGGAGGAGTAAAACCCTGGAGGGTTAGACTGGATCTGAAACAAATGACACTTGGAGAACAAATTGAAAGATTAATCGTTGCCTTATTGGCTGTTAAGACCATGTCGTTCAACAGTCCGAACCGCATCATCCACACTTTCTCCGTGCTTAGACGAACTGAGTCCTTGGGTCAGCCAACCGACTCTACACCCTCTAAAATCATATCAGAAATTAAATGGTAATGGAGGTTGAAATGGTGACCGTCAGGGGTGTCCAGTCTCTTGGTTTTGACAGTTGATTGATGACCATACAAACGCTTTTTCCTTGGTGTCCGGTGGTCCAACTTTGTCACCAACACAACCATCATGGGGACCACCGGTCTCGAGGATATCCGTGCTACCATCTTACGGAGCCGCCATCCTCTCTTCGGTCACATCCGACGCTATCGGATGACACGCCAGCCTATACCGCCCTTAAGCTTAGCGTCGAGGTACTAGGGGGACTCCACCTTGACATTGCCTGGAAGAGACCCAGGGGCAGACCCCGCAGCACCTGGGTGCGACAGCTAGAAGTTGACCACAAGACATGTGCACAACAGCTGTGGCAGTCTGCATCTGATCGCTTGGTCTGGGTGGCTCAACGTCCCCCATGATGGATTTGGAGAATGATGATTATGATGGTATGCCGTACAAAATGTCCACTGTATTTTCATTATGTCTGCACCATCAAAATTCATAGTTCAGTCAAATTGTGCATACGTGCCACAAAGTGATTTTATGCCAATCTGTTGAATTATTGTCTGAATGAAACTAGTTAGTCTGTGGCTACAGCTTGTTGAACCCGTCTTGCAGTGGGATGGAACATGGAGTCACCGTTGATACTTGTTACTAAAACCGTATTACAGTGAAATCTCGATAAATCAAACTCTGATAACCCCCAAAAACCTGTTAAGTCAAACAAAGAATCAATTCCCTTCAGTAGTATTACAATGATATACAACCCTGGGGGGCGGCCCATCAACTTTTTCCGCAATACCCTTGAACAAATTTTTTATTTCCCAACCCGAGCTGTCCTGACTTGTTAGCCTCGAGTCTAGTGCATCTTTTGATACCAAAAACATAAAATTTGGACCACGGGTTGCCGCGCAGCAAAACCTTTCCGCCGCTACGCGTAGTGAAAACTGAATTTCCCCATATACGTAGTGTACACGAAGCAGAATTACCATTCGTGCATATGAATAATTAACTAGCCAAAACTCCAAAACCCTTTGACCTATAGTCATGGAATTTCTTGGGTACGTTAATGTTAAGTTGTTCTTTGCATGCACTGAGTTTCATAATTTTTAATCACTGGATGGCCGAGATCTTAGGCTGTGCCCCAAATTCGTTTTCTGTCATTCGTTTGAATGTTGTTGTCATTTCATTTCGTTTCTGGTGACTTAAAACGTTAGAAAATGTGCCCAATCTTTGGAATTATTGAAAGAATTGTGCACATTAATAAAAAATAAAATTTCAACATATATTTCCTAATATGTATAAATAACAGTAGTTACCTGTAAGTTTTGAATCTCCTTTTCTGTGTTTCACAATTAACATTAGAATCAGGAATAGACCTTTCACAATATGCTTTTTACCTAAGACATGGAAATTAAGCATCAAGATCAAACACCTTTGTAATATTGCTCTTTGATAGACAGACCTAACTTCTGTGGTTTTATTCATCAAATAGCAACATTACGAAAGTGTTTGATCTTAATGCTTAATTTCCATGTTATAAGTAAAGAGCATATTGTGAAAGGGCTACTACTGATTCTAATGATAATTGTGAAACACAGAAAAAAATTCAAACCTTACAGCTAATACCTTAATTTATACATAGGCCTATAAGGAAATTATATATATTGAAATTAACATTTTATTCATGCGCACAATTCTTCAAATAAGTTAAAAAAATTTGGCACATTTTCTAATCATATGGTTTTAAGTCACCAGAAATGAAATGTAATGACAACAACATCAAAACCTATGTCAAAAAAACGAATTTGCTTTTTCAATTCAATGCCGATTGCTACATGAGATGAATTTCACAAATTTAGGACGAATCGGTGTGCTAAAAATTTGAATTATTCTGAACCTTAAATGAAATCTAGTGCTGGCTTTTTGAAATTCAAATTGAGAATTGAGCCTCGCCATGTTTAAGTATCGATATAGGGAATTTGTGTGATACAATTGTTAAAATAACCGGGAAAACCTATATTATTTGTATACTTGTGATACAACTGGCATATGGTAAAGGTGTGAAAGGGTGGTTTATATAATCCCCATCAGACAGAGAAAATAAAAATGGAAGCAATAGCAAAAAAGAAATTCTCCTTTTGTGTATCTTTGCACAGGTAAAGTCAAGTTAATTATTGAGCAATGAAGCCTGGTGGTACCACTCTTTATGCTCAAGGATTCTTTCTTATTCTAATACTAACTTAAAAAACATCCTTAAATAGCTTATTATGCAACAGAATGCCAAGAGAAATAAATCACCTTTAATGCTACTTGACTTACCAATACATTTTCGTCTGACATCTCTCTAACTTGCATAGGTGCCTCACGAGGTTTTGTATGACCCAAGCCAAGTTGCCCATGGGTGTTTCTACCAAATGTGAAAAGCACTCCAGGTTCTACAAGAACAGCACTATGGTGAGGACCCAATATCATGTCTACAACTCTGAAGGAAGCAAGTGGTTTGATTTTGGTAGGAACTTTTCTGCCCTCTACTTCTGTCTGTGCATAAATAGAATAAAAGAATACTTTGTTGTATAAATCAATAATACAAAATTCATTAAAAATACATCCAGAAATTCAGAAAACTTTTACAATTACTCTTGATGGAAGTCAAAAAATAATCCTTCGCCTTTGGTTCAAGCAATTATCAGCATCCATTCCCCAAGCTTGTGTAACAGTCTCACCTATCCGGTGTGTTAACTTGTCCGGGTTGATTCAGCGGATAATTGAGCATGTTACAGTCACATACCAAATGAGAGGGTCAATCTTCTTCAAAGGTGAGTCTCTCTGCTATGTCTGCCGACACCACATTGAAGCAAATTTATCAATTTCTACCTTTTACCTTCATGCAGATGCCTCCATTTGATCGTACACAAAAAAAAATAGGTAAAAAATAAAATTAAAAAAAACCAATTCCCTACCTACCCAACCTATTTCCAAACGTCATGTAATGGGAAGCATAACTATTTTTTTTTAGCCTGATCGTACAATACGAGAGCTGCTGGTAGCTTGTAATGTTTGTATGTTTCTTCCAATATTAAAAGTGCATCAGTACAACCGCAAAGAACTCGGCACACAACTTGGCGTTGGTGAAAATGTTGCGCAGCGTATTGAAGCAAAATTTCCCTTTCTGTATAGTTGGCACACTAGATAAGTAAGGCCGCAACACCAGTCTTAAACAGACTTGCTTAAAACCAGCCAAGCACATATGTATTTCCTTATAAAAGACGATTAATGCAAAAATCAAGAAAGGAAATGATTCATCCAATTGGCTCAAAACACCACAGTACCCTGGAATGTTTATATAAATGACGGGATCTTTTGAGTTATAGCAATTTTTTTAAAGTTTTTTTTTAAGTTGAATCACAAAATACTCTTCGAGGCAAAACTTTTTTTTTTTAATTGTGATTTTATGGCATTAATTATATATACATAGGGGAGTCAAAAAGATAGTAACTGCATTAGAACAATTTTTAAAATAAAATATGTGGCTCGCTCTGTTTCAACAAAATAACATAGTAATTGTGAAAATTTCACTTGATTTGCATAGTCTCTTCCCAAGTTATGACTATTTTAATAAAGACTAGAGCTATGTCTCTTCAAACAGAACACAGGGCTTTTTCGCATTTTATAAATGTTTATGCTACATGTATGTTTGTCCTTTGCAGTCATTTTTTAGAGTGTTTAATACAGTTAAAAGTTGTTCATAATGCTTAGAATAATTCCAAAAGTAAAGATTTATCACATGACATCATATGCCCTGCGATGACGTCATCTTGAAAACCCTTCACAATGCACATGTTGTCATTGTGGTCTTGGTTTGAACCAAGTTTACAGTCAATCCAATGAAAGGAAGTGTGCAATTTTGGAAGCAGAATAAAATTATAAATATAAAAAAAAATCATAACAAATCAAACGATGATGTCATTGTGACGTCACTTCAGACTTTGCATACTAGTACCATTATCTACCTACCCACAAGTTTCATGACGATCGGACATTCTCTTATATGCGTATATACAATTTATATTTTTTTCTGCATAGCACGTTTCCGCGGGTTTTCTCCTAAACGGTATATGATATGAACTTGTAACTTTTAACATATATTGACCCTCATTCCGAGTGGTGCATGTTACACTGACGTCATTATGACGTCATCGGGTGTCAAATTACAAGCGATTTTTTGAAAAAATGACGATCTCCTTTCATCTATAACTCTTCAACAAAATGATCAATTAAGCTCCAACCTTGTAATCAGATAGACCATAAATTGATAAACATTTTTTGTCGTGTACGTAATCTCGCTTGACCTTTACATTAGCCTGAAATTGAAACAAAGCACAATTTCTTCCAAACTGTTTACGGTATGATCATAAAACCTAGTGTGAACATGTACCATGTTACGAAGATGTTATAACTGATGTTACGTTATCATGACGCCATCAGGTATCAAATTACAAGCGATTTGATTGCACGATTTGACAAAATACTTTGACCTATATCTCTTGAACTAAATAGAGTATCGTGTTCGTTTTTTCGTGAGGTTGTAGACGGTGCCTTGAGCAACATTTCTTATTCCCGGGCACAAAACTGCTTGACCTTTACTTCCGGTGTTACCGGAAGTACAATAGAAACTGAATCTAACTCTTAAACGGAAGCATTTTACTACAGACAAATACATTATGGAGGAATGCCAATCACAAAAAAAACATTATTTTGACGTCATCCACGAAAGGGCGCCCTCCAGCGGCACATAGAAAACAGTTTAATTTGTTTTAATGTTAAAGCCCTCAATCAAATTTGTATGATATATTGCCCTTATATATCCCGTGAGCAACCACAAATGAATTTGTACGGTTTCATAATCATGACGTCATCAGACTGGAAGTTACTGTAGGGAGAATTCAACAATGACCATTTTATTTTTTAATTTAAATCCATCATTTGATCCCTATCACATGAGTTTGTTTTTTGCCCCCCCCCCCCCCCAAAATGACATCTGCTACACTTAATATTGACCTTTTGCTTCCAAATACTGTGACGTCATCAAACTGGAAGTTAGCTGTTTTTATTACATACACTTAATTTCCATATTTCCATGCATTATTTTTACTAAATGATAAACAAGTGTCCTCCCTTCCCTGTTTTGACTGATGACGCCATCAAACCGGAAATAACTTGTACGTGTACCCAACTGCTTACTGAAATTTATCATACCTTAACAGATGCATTCTTTTTGTACAAAATAATTGGTACTGGAAATGTTGAAGTTCTTGGTCCTTTTTTTTTCTGACATAAACATATTCATAACGTAACTGGACAATGTCTAATGAAATGGTTGTCTACCCGACCACTCTGCGTTTGTAACAACAAACGCGAACCTCTAGTTGGTTTTGTACATGTTTTCTTATCAAGGTCGTCCTCGATTTGGTTACTGTCCTCAATTCATTGATGATGTTGCATGTGTGTGTCCTCGATTTACACCATAACAAATGCATCTTCAGTCACGGACATCCTGTTGTCCTAGGAGTTTATATTCTAACTTTTTGGAAGAACTCCTAGGGAGAATCTCACCTTTGTGAAGATGTTCTTCATTGCCATAAGAAAACCTTGTCTATTGTTGAGTGCCAGCTTATTGTCCTCATTACTGCCGCATGCCAACAAACAGCCCATGTCTGTCAGAAACATAGTGCCATCAATGCCGCATTTTACGTCACGTACATAAATCTGTCCCATATTCAGTTCTTTTGGTTCACAACTGCAGCAAAAAGGGCAGGGGAGAATACATACAATTTATTATAGCACTAGAATTAAAAAAATAAATAAACAAGTCAGGTGTGTTTACAAACACAAATGCCCCGCAACCGTGACTGTTCCCATGACATAACACCACTCTTTTAACATCAACTTACATGTACCTTGGTCACATGGAACATTCATTGACAGCATTAGTGTCTTCTGTAGGTTTTATATGAATTAATCCCTAATCCCTATAATCTCAGAATAAAAAAAAGATTTCTATTGTTTTAGCCACTGTGAACTTGACCCTTGACCTTTTGGCCCCAAATTCAATAGGCTTCTTAGGATTGCCAAGAACAATCCACAAACCAAATTTGAAGTTCATATGTTAAGTATTTCTCAAGTTATCGCGCTGACAAGATTTCTATTGTTTTAGCCACTGTGAACTTGACACTTGACCTTTTGACCCCAAATGCAATAGGCTTCTTAGGATTGCCAAGAACAATCCACAAACCAAATTTGAAGTTCACATGTAAAGTATTTCTCAAGTTATTGCGCTGACAAGATTTCTATTGTTTTAGCCACTGTGAACTTGACCTTTGGCCTTTTGGCCCCAAATGCAAAAGGCTTCTTAGGATTGCCAAAAACAATCCACAAACCAAATTTGAAGTTCACATGTAAAGTATTTCTCAAGTTATCGCGCTGACAAGATTTCTATTGTTTTAGCCACTGTGAACTTGACCTTTGGCCTTTTGGCCCCAAATGCGAAAGGCTTCTTAGGATTGTCAAAAACAATCCACAAACCAAATTTGAAGTTCACATGTAAAGTATTTCTCAAGTTATCGCGCTGACAAGATTTCTATTGTTTTAGCCACTGTGAACTTGACCTTTGGCCTTTTGGCCCCAAATGCGAAAGGCTTCTTAGGATTACCAAGAACAATCCACAAACCAAATTTGAAGTTCATATGTTAAGTATTTCTCAAGTTATCGCGCTGACAAGATTTGTCCGGACACACACACCCACCCACCCACACACACACCCACACACCCACCCACCCACCCACCCACGGAAGGACAAGGCGGAAACAGTATGCCCCTTCGGCTTCGCCGCGGGGCATAAAAATAATAGTGTATCCATCTCTGTGCACATGTACATGGTTTTTAATTATAGGTTTTCCCATCCAATTTTGCACCTAGTGCATGCAAGAGTATAAATAGTTTATTCAATTTTGCTATAGGGCAATCAAAAATTCAAAGTAGTCATTCAAAATCGCCATAGGGCAGTCGAAAAAGAAAAACAGTCATTCAGAATCACCATACGGCAGCCAAAAATTCATAATGGGCATTCAGATTCGCCATAGAGCAATCAAAAGTGTAAAAACAGCATTCAGATTCGCCATAGTGCATTCAAGTTAGCACAGAAGGACACGTGACTAAAGATAGAGCATTCAATTTCGCTATAGGGTATTCATGTTCATAACTAGTGCATTCAATTTAGCACTGTATTTACATGACTTGTATACAGTAATACATATTCAAATATTCTTTGCGCGTTTTTGCCAACCTGCAATATGTGTGCCACCAATGACCATTCATAAAACTTCACTGGACAATTTACATTATTTTTTACAGATGCCTGGGCTTCGATAGTTGTATTTGTTTTGTCTCCTAGAGGTGAAATGTAAATTATAGAAGCATTGGCCTGCTTATTGAGCAAGTTATTTTGTTCCTCACCAGCGCCTTGGCGCAAATTGTATATATATTTCTTTCATCTCCTTTGGTAATGCATTCTTTGCATTTCACCTTTTGCTTTCCACATATAATTATCAGCAGCTTGAGAATTTACATTGGCAGACATTACGCAATTAACATCAATGGCTGAAAAAATGACTGAGTTTTGAGCTTTGAACTTTAACATGTAAATTTCCTACCAAAGATCAGTAAATATAACCATCTGCAGTTGCGATATCATATTAGGTATATACATTAAGTTATAATTATGTTTTAAAAAGATTATAAAAGGTTCAACAAAGAATTATTATAAGGGAAGAAAACCGTAATCAATGTCTTAAGTTGTGATGAAAGATTGTTTTAAATGATTAAAGTCATATGAAAACAGATACAAGATAAAAAACACAAGAAGTACATATATATATGCTATATGAAAGAAGAAAATCATGATATTGTATAAATGCTATGATTTATGTCTCTAGTCAATGCATATAATTAAAGAGATGGTGCAAATGGCCACAAGAAAATATACATTAAGAAGGAAAATTTACAAAGATTAAACCAAAAACATATGAATTAACAGAGGGAAATGTAAGGACATCTTCCCTCTGTTTATTCATATGCCTTTGAGCCATCCGATAAATATGATTTGTATTCGGCGACTTAATATAGACAAAGCAAGCTCATAAAGTGGAAGAAGACATAAACATGAGAAAGCTATAAAAAAAAACAAATAGAAAAAATATTACATGTGCTGAATTGGATGCACAAATTGTATAATTGGATGCCCTATGGTGAAATAGAATGCTCCAACTTAGCTCGAGGGGGTTTCAAGGGCGAACTTGGTTGCACTATGTACGAATTTGTATGCCGATTGGCGAATTTGGTTGCCCTAACGCGATTATGAATGCCAATTGGCCATTTTGGCTGCACTGTAGCGAATTTGAATGCCGATTGGCCATTTCGGCTGCCCCATAGCGAATTTGAATGCCGATTGGTGATTTTGGCTGCCCTATCCGTGAAATTGAATGACCTATTTATACTTTCTCATGCACTATGTGCGAAATTGAATGACCTATCTTTACTTTTGCATGCACTAAGTGCGAAATTGGACGGGAAAACCTATATTAGGCAGAAACAAAACAGAGCAATAGGCAGTCAAACTAGAGCTACATGTATGTCTGTTTGATGAACAGATCATATGGCTTTTTCACATATCATGTTTTTCAAGTTGATGCTTTGTTAGACTTGGTGCCAAGTCGGTAATTGTGTTGCGTATACAGTACCGTAGTCTGATTCCCAGACCAAATGATGCTGACTATTGATGTTCAATTACCGACTTGGCGAATACGTTTTCAATATTGTACACCACATATGGGAGTATTTTGAATCGCTAGCAAATTCTATGCGAGCACTCTGATTGGTTCAGATTCCAGAGCTTATTTTAGGCCGCCACAGAAGATCGTTCTCATTACTTCGAGGGTTGGTACTGTGTTTTAACATTACAACAAGAAAAGTAGTGTTGAAAAACACAAATGCCCCGCAACCATGCCTATTTCCATGACATAACACCACTCTATTAATTACATCAACTCACATGGTTCACATGGAAAGTTCATTGACATCATTATTGTTTTCTTTAGGTTATATACCGTATGTAATGTATTGATGCCTTCAGTCTTATATTTTCAGTCTTAAGCAAGACATTTCTCAAAGGCAAATCCTATGAGCATAATGCTTTGAGCATGGGGCCTACATGGAAATAAGAATTTTTAAATAATCAAAAGAAAATATGGTTATTTGAATAAGCAGAATTATCAGCATGACATCATTTCTTTTGTATTTTAATAATGAGAACAGTTGGCCTATGGGGTCCGAAAGTGACTCAAAAACTCCTATAGAACAACCTACTGAGCTGCATATACATGTACATGTACTAAGGTGCAAGTCTCATGTTTTAGTAATACTGTACATGTACATGTGTTTGTTGAGAACACTTTTTTTCTGTTGTTTCAATTAAAAATATGACTGTCCAAGAAAAAAGGGGGGAAGAAGCCACATTGATTAAAAAAACAAAAACATGTATAAACAGTGTACACAGGTCCCCTAATACTCTAGTGAGTGATTTCATTTGCTCATGTACATGTGAACTGGTTTGGGGAAAAGAAAAAAAAACAACACCCTATTATTTTAATCCTAATTACCTTGGCCTTTGTCTTATGGGGTCCAAACTCATTCATTGTCTGCAAGATATACTAGCAAGCTACCTTCATTGTATCAAGGTTCAAGACATACATGGACATTCAATCCAGATATCGCTGTGGAACCAAACACGTACACCCATACACACACACACACATACTGAAATTTGTATTCTTGTGGAGACATTTCTTTGTTCTTGTGTAGTAAAGTTTTCGAGTTTGAAAGTGAAGTTTGAAAATGCTCTTATTTTAACCAGAATTAATTTTCTTGGCTGAAATTCGGACTTAATGTCCCTTTTCTAAAACTCTTCCATTTGCGATGGATCAACCCACCTTGGACATTCCTAGTTTTTGAGTAAAATCCATATATCTATTTCGTGAAAATCTTGTGGAGACGTATTCATCTATAGAAATTGCCCTGTGGAGACGTATACAATCTTTCGTTCCCTATTGTGTGCACGTCTCCAGAGGGCACGGTGTATCAGATCACACGCACGCACACACCCCCACACACACGTTTGTTTATGTCCACATATGCTATGTGGACATTCCTTTGTTTTCGTGTAGTTAAGAAAACTTGGTACAAAAAATAACTTTACTTACACTGTGAAAACTCTTTCAACCCAAATTTTTTTTCTATGATTCCCTATAGTGTTTCACTTCATTCTGCCACGGATAAACCTAACCCAAAAATGCCTCTAAACCTGTTTTCCAGAGAGGGCAAAACGTTATGGACATGGCTTAGTCCACATAACGTCAACACAACCTGCATTATGTGGACATCTTTTGTTCACAAGTCCACATAGTTAATGTAAGACAAACTCACACGGACAGACTAGGCGGAAACAGTATGCCCTTTCGGCTTCGCCGGCGGGGCATAAAAAAAAACAGGCAAAATTCTTTTTTTGTTTGTAATGGGTATGTTAGGTCATACATAAGTTGCACAATAATGTGACAAGTGTGTGACGTCATGATAACATCATCTAAAATGCATTTTTTTTTAATCACATACAAGGCTAAGTCCGATCGTCTTGAAACTTCGTAGGTAGGTAGATAGTATTTCTAGTAAACAAAATCTGAAGTGACGTCATGATGTCATCACCTGATTTTGTATTAATTTAAGAACTTGTTACATTTTCTTCTACTACCGTTAGCAAAATATGCCATAAAATGCAATCCGATTGGCCTCAAACTAGAACAAACAAAGACCCCAAGGTTAACTTGGCTCTTGACAAGTGATGTCATTATGACGTCATCAATAGTCATGTGTCATCATCTTAAAGGTATATTTTTAAGGATTTTAGATCTGAAGAACTGTAAGTCTGATTTGGTTGGAATTTATGGCGTGGGGTCTGGGGCCCACAGAGCATCTAGAATCCAGAATTTTGGATTCTAGATGCTCTGTGGTGCAATCTGAGGTGATTCCTGGCCACCCTCTTTGGAAATTTTGTAGCAGAAGTTTTTTTTTAATTATAAGAAGAATTTTTGTTGAATTTTTTTTCTTAAATGTATTTTTGCTCTTATAAAGTTTCTTCTGTACTCAAAGTTGAGAACCACATACTTTCATCAATATATTAATTTACTCTTTTTTTTTAGAGGGATTGTACCAGTATTTAGGCCCTATGACATAACTTTTTGTAAATTATTGCAAGGATGCTGTCTGATGTTATCTATTAGTTCCCTCAATGTTTTGTCAAAAGTTGAGCGTTTAGTTTATCAAAGTGCAAATTGTGAGAACAGAACACTTGAACATGTATTTAACTTTACATTGAATTCAAGTTTGAACCACTTTCTTGCTCTTTGTTGGAACTAAAACGGAGAATTAGGCCGGGGGGCCTACATTATGTACATTGCACCTCCACAGCTACACACCAGTTCCAGTTTTAGCCATGTCATGAGTCATGACTACGGAAAATGAAATCAGGTTTTTCCTGTTTTCTGTGTGCAATTTGCATTTTTTTTTTGTCTTTAGTGATATTTTTTGAGAAATTTTCTTGATTTTAATACAGTCCAGTTTCAATTTCAAGAATGGGTAGTTCAGATTATAAATAATACATTGGCATCGCCGCGGCAAGACAAATGATGTGTACACAAGTCTCTGAAAGAAGAAGTCATCGGCGATTGTAATTTCCAAATGCTACAAAACAATTTACCAGGAGGAATCTCATCTTTGTTACGTAACACATTCCATAAATAAATTTCCATGTATTATGATGTTGAGAAATAAACATCGAAAATTGCTACCCATCCTGGCCATCTGTGCCAGGCCAGCGCCTGCAGAACGGGCTTGCGAACGGATCCCATGCAAAATACGATCAAATTTTCCCGCATGCATTGTCGAAGCCTGGAGCATTTAACTCTGCTTTGTGGCAATCATTGCTCATTGATTGTTTTCCTAATAACAAACAGGTCTCGTTTTGCTACCAAACTTATCAAATTGTTATATTCAGCAACGACCTAGTAACGTCAAAAACGAAATTTTTCAGTAACAAATTTCTTTAAAAAATCAGCCGAGTCGCCATTTTATGGACGGATCATCCATTGATATCCGTCCGTAAAAGGAGGAATCTCATCTTTGTTACGTAACACATAAATTTACATGTATTATGATGTTGAGAAATAAACATTGAAAATTCATTGATATTGATAGGGCTGATTCAAATTTTTTTTTGGTTTTACATCATTTCCTCAAATAAATTCTTTAAAAAAAATATATGATGATGTTGAAGAACCTATTTTTAAACAAGGAAATGTTTCGGACTTCATAAAAAGTATTATTTGTAAGTTTGAAACAGTGGAAATGCTATTGCTGGTGAATTGTTCTGAAGAAAGAACACCCTTTTACCACAAATGGTGTGGTCCACACAGCTCTTTGTGGTTAACGTACAGTTCAGGGTGCATTTTGTACATGATGTACAATGTACATGTACATGTAGGTCGCACTGGAACTGCACAGTCCAAAACAGCACGTGCTTTTCAGCATCGCGACTTTCAAAATCACATCTTCAGCCCAGAGCGATCATAACACATATCCCACTACCACTGATCTACGTGTGTAAATAATCAGTCTCCATCAATCTACTCCAACCACGTTCTCAATGGGACACAAACTTCATATGATCAGAGTAAATTTGGACATGCAAAACTTGATATGAATAATTAATTAGTACATTCTACCCCTCCCTCACCCCCATTTTCTCATTGGATTCACATGTATCATGTGGGTTGACTTTTGAGGACCCCAAAAAATGGATTTCCGGCACAAACCAAATCTGGAGAACTAACCTGACTGCATATGGACAAAACAAAACATAAACTCACAAAAAAATTAATACGGAAAAGCCCTATGCTCTCTGTTCATCAAACAGACATAGTTCTAGTTTTAACATTCATTTTGGTAGCATATGTTACACCCTAATGAAGTAACAGCATTACAAAATTTCAATCCAACAGGGAGTCTGGAGACTTTCAAATGAAAATGTATTCAATTTTTGGCATTTTTCTTCATATGTACTGTAAGTTACTCATCAACTCTTACTGCCAAATAGGCAGAAAATTTACCATGGTAGTTTTCTTTTATTGAATTTAGTCAGTTAAATTCAAGAGATCTTCTGTGATAGATTTGAAATGGTAAGAAATTATACAGAATAAAACCATGAAGCTGAAGGTAGACCCCCTTTTAACATAATGTGATTTACCTGGGAACCGCCCATACTAAAACAACAATCAGAACATTCCCAATAGAAGACTGCCAACAGAACTATTGAACAGTTGTTCCTAACAGACAACATTTGAATGGTACTCACTGGTCTTCTTCATCACCAAGTCCAAGTCTTCCATCTTTACCAACACCCCATGCAAAGACTTCACCATCAGCTCCAACTGCAACCACATGACAAGGTCCACTGGATATTGCCGACACGTCAACACTACAAAAAAATATTTAAGGCAAATCAGTCTAAAACAAATTTTAATTTTTTTAATTTTATTTCTTTCTGGTAATGAAACCAAGGATTCCTCAAAAGTGCCCTGGGGACTGTAGCTCGAAAGCCTGAAGAAACCTGTAGAGGCAATGAGAAGAAATTACAGTTTTAGAGGTGGGAGGAAAAGCCCAGAGGAATATTCTGAGGAACACCCACGTAATCAGGTAGGGACTGAAAACCCAATCCACATATTGGCCCAGGCGGGATTCGAACCAGGGTCACAGCGGTGGAAGGCGAGGAAAGTACCGCTTCGCCAACCTGACTCCTGATAATGAGTAGTATTGAATAGTTCATGATAACATCTCAAGTACAACAAACAGAACTTGCTATTTTCCTGTGTATGGCCAACACCTCACTATTACAAAGTAATGCACAACACCCAGCTCACAGCAACCACAGGTCTGTATGCGCATGCATGTGTTGGTTGCATGTACTGCCCAAGCACCAAAGAGTTGAGTACAAACGTGTAGCTCGATGGGTGCAGGTAAAATTTGACTAATTTTATATTAAAACTAGAGGTCAAGGCGCTTGTTGAGATACAAACGCAGAGTGATCGGGCCGACAACTATTTTATTAGACACAGCCCAGTTAAGTTATGAATAATTTTATGTCAGAACAAAGGATCACGAAAATTTAACCTTTCCAGTACAACCAATGATTTTGTTTAAAACAAAAATGTATCAAATTTCAGTACATATTTTATATTGACGTACAAGTTATTTCTGATTTGATGATGTCATCAGTCCAAAAAGGGAAAGTGAATAATGATTTAGTTTGGTTTCGGTTTTGCATTTGCATTTTCGGGTCGGGTCAGGTCAGTTTAGCCATCTTTTTGAAAAAAAAAAAACCTGAAACAGTTGAGATATTCAGGTGATGCAATATTATTGACAGTCACTGTGACCGCAGCCCATTGTGTGGTGTAGCCAACGTGTGCAAGTTCCCCCGGTATTAATTTCTCCAGTTGGATCGGGACTGACAGTGAAACAGATAGATTGTAACAGTTTTCATGATACCGCGTGGCGACCATGCGTTTGTTCAATAAGCGGAGTTACTCTCGATCAACCCATCGAGTATGAGAGAGAGAGAGACGATGGTTTTGCGAAAGAATTCATGCCACATGGGTAAGGCAGGCACAAAAAAGTGATCACTTTGTCCGTGCCAGATTTCGTTGTTGTTTTTTTTCAGGTCGGTTAGTGTTCAGTCAGTTCGGGTCGGTGTTACCATATTTTTTGTTGGGTCGAGTCGGGTCGGTTTGAGGGAATAAGATCGGTTTTGGCTCAGATTCAGTTTATATCCTACTCTAAGTTTCGGGTCGGTTTGGCCTGGTTAACCTGACCCGATGCACATCATTAGTGTACTGTAGGCCATAGGATATTTGATTGTACTTGTTGTTGTTTTTTTTACTGTCTTTATTTGTTTGTTGAAGTCAAATAAATAATAACAATAATAACGAGTGCGCATATCTTTCTGAGATGCATGCTATCGATGTTGAGTTTCGAGTTTGCATTTTTTACACAAATTTACATTAGAGCCACGGTACGCGATAGAAATATCCCACCAAAAAAGCTTGCAAACGCATGCTGATTTATCTTTTCTGGACGTTGTGATAAACTCAAACTCCTTCAATACTTGTCACTAAGAATTGTCCCTTTTTTGTTGTCTTGGAAGTCATGATGATGTCACACAAAGTTCGAAAAATGTTTTGTGAATACTACGAACATGATGACTCACATGGCAATCTTTTGGGCGCCATCTTAAAAAGCTAGTGTATGACACACAAGCTGGTTCCAAGTTGTTTGCACGCATGTATTATTCTAACTGGCTGGTGTCCAGCGGTTGCCATGCCTCATAAGACTCGTTTGCAATTTCAAGCTGTAGCCGATAGTTCGGATACGGCTTATATCTAGCCGATTTTTCGGCTATTTCTCAAGTTATCGTGCTGAATATTTCTCAAGTTACCGTGCTAACAAGAGTTATCCTAATCAAAACAAAATACACAGACACAAACATTTGTTTATAGTGTGAATCGAACATTTTCTATTGCCCTATTCCCGTTTCCTTTGTCTATACACGTTTTCAAACCGAGGAAATTCGGTTTCTGTCCTTGTTTCATCGATAATGTTGCACGTGTGTGTCCTCGATTTACACCATAAACAAAAGCAGACACACATACATACATACATACATACATACATACATACATACATACATACACACATACTGAAATTTGTATTCTTGTGGAGACATTTCTTTGTTCTCGTGTAGTAAAGTTTTCGAGTTTGAAAGTGAAGTTTGAAAATGCTCTTATTTTAACCAGAATTAATTTCCTTGGCTAAAATTCGGAATTATTATCCCTTTTCTAAAACTCTTCCATTTGCGACAAATCAACCCACCTTGGAAATTCCTAGTTTTTGAGTAAAATCTATATATCTATTTCGTGAAAATCTTGTAGAGACGTATTCACCTTTAGAAATTGTCCTGTGGAGACGTATACAATCTTTTATCCCTATTGTACACGTGTACGTCTCCAGAGGGCACGGTGTATCAGATCATACATACATGTTTACGTTACATACCAAGTGTTGACAGTCCCTTGGTTTCGTGTAGTTTCGTGTAGTAAACCTCGGAAAACAATCATTTTACTCTCACTGTGAAAACACTTTCAATCCAATCTTTTTTCTATGACTCCCTCCAATGCCTCTTAACCTGTTTTCCAAAGGTTGAAACACTGTGTGGACTTGCCCACGTCCACACAACATCGCCTCTACCTGGTTTATGTGGACCTTTTTTGTTCGGAAGTCCACACAGTGAATGTAATGCCTTCTCACCGACACCCATACATATACACAGAAGAAATACACTATCGCAATATCCCCCTACGGCTTACAGCTAGGGGGATAAAAATTGAATTTTGATGTGTTTTTTTTCTTGACTCGTACATAATGTTGTGTCCGTGCAACAAGGTTGTATCATCTAAAATGGCGTGTGACGTCATGTACATGAAACCCAAGGGTTGCATCTCATTTAAAAAAATAACAGCGTTGCTGTTGAAACCCCTCAGCCAGAGTCAAGTTATCATCCGGCAACCAAACCTTAAACTGAACATCGTGACCTTGACCTTTGACCTCAGAACCAATCCCAACATGCCTGTACTTTTTTGGCAAACCCCTACCGAAGTTAGACACCAAAATTTCACTTCTAACTCAAGTTATCATCAGGAAACCATTTACCTTTACCTTTAACTCACCACGGTGACCTTGACCTTTGACCTTTTGACCTCAAAACCAATCCCAACTTCCCTGTATCCAAGGGGCAACCCCCTACCTAAGTAAGAAACCAAAATCTCATTTCCAACTCAAGTTATCATCCTTTTGACCTTTTGACCCCAAACCAATCCAACTTGCCTACTCCCAAGGGCAACCCCCTACCAAAGTTAGACACCAAAAACTCAAGTTATCATCCGGAAACCATTTACCTTTAACTCACCACGGTGACCTTGACCTTTGACCTTTTGACCCCCAAACCAATCCCAACTTGCCTACTCCAACGGGCAACCCCCTACCAAAGTTAGACACCAAAAACTCAATTTATCATCCGGAAACCATTTACCTTTAACTCACCACGGTGACCTTGACCTTTGACCTTTTGACCCCAAAACCAATCCCAATTTGCCTACTCCCAAGGGCATCCCCCTACCAAAGTTAGACACCAAAATCTCATTTCTAACTCAAGTTATCATCCAGAAACCATTTACCTTTAACTCACCACGGTGACCTTTGACCTTTTGACCCCAAAACCAATCCCAACTTGCCTACTTCTAAGGGCAACCCCCTACCGAAGTTACAATCCCAAACAACATTTCTAACTCAAGTTATCATCCGGAAACTAAGCTGCCCGGATGGTCTAGCCAGACGGAATTGTGGGGTGATAGCATTGTGTTCCCATTATCCCTTTTTCTAAAGATTCTCTTCTGGGGTGATGTTTTTCTATTGTGAAAATAGTGGGGTGATGTGTCCTGAAAGGAACATCACCCCACAGGGGGGGTATGGTCAGAACGGACATACGGACGTTCCAGCCAGACAGAATTGTGGGGTGATAGCATTGTGTTCCCATTATCCCTTTTTCTAAAGATTCTCTTCTGGGGTGATGTTTTTCTATTGTGAAAATAGTGGGGTGATGTGTCCTGAAAGGAACATCACCCTACAAGGGGGGTATGGTCAGAACGGACCGACGGACGGACGGACACCGTAGGCGATGGCAATACCCCTCGAGCCTCTCGGCTGAGGGGTAAAAACACTGATTTATACACAAAGTCAATGGAAGTCACAATTCGTGAGATACGTCCTTGTTGCACGGAGCATATTAGTGCGAGATACAAGTTTGTTCCAGAATCGAGTTACAACCTTGATGCACTGGCGCTACGATGTTGCCTTAATATTTAATATCTTGCCATAGTGATTTCCCCACAGTAACTGCTATTTTTTGTAATCAAACGTGTAAGCTTGACATTTCTTGAAAGTATTTTTATTTTAGAGTAAATAGTTTTGCAAGGATTCCGAAGTAATTTTTTACAAACATGAAAGCGAGTGATATTGCATGTTTGTCGGTCCTCTAAAGTGACGGTCTTGGTCTCCGAGTTGCAAGTCTTGTTGTTGGTCTCGGAAGTTAAGGTCTCGGTCTTGGTCTCGGAGTCAGAGGTCGAAACTCATGTACGTTCACGGTGGCCATTTAGTACTTGGTTACACATAGCAACCAGTGATCTGAGGTTTCGCGCGGTTTGTGTGAAACATTGTTGACAATTTTTTGCTGGATAAATTACATGAAAATTGAGGAGTGTATCGTAAAGTACTCAGTGCACGTTTCATATTTATGAGCAAATTCAGACTTTAGTAACGATTATTTTTCAATATCTAATAGATTCGGCTTGAAAACGCTGCATTTACGACCAACTTATTTCAGTGAAGTGTCGAGTTTCATGAAAATAGTTGGTGTAAATTTACTCAATTTTCTACATGAGAATAATTTTTCTAAGTTGTGATTCCTTCATTAATTGCGAGTCGAGGACCTTTTTTAGCCATTTTTCATGCCGTGAATGAAAAGCATTTGGAGGTTTTTGGGACAGGCTTTTTTTTTTTTTAGGTTATTTTTCGCGCCATGTACATATTTCACATAGTGCTACGTGTGTTTGTGCACAAAGCCTGCATGTCGTACGGCACAAAGCCCTACCCACATAATGTCGTGTTGAATCGCGGAACTTGTGTAGTTTAGGACACTTCCATTTTTTTTTTCAATCCATAAATTACTTTTGAAAATGACAGTTGCAATATGACTTTTGCAGCCTCAGAAAGGCTCAAGCTGTCTTTCTTCTTGGTGTTTCTTCTCATGTTGATGAGTAATTCTTAACAAAATGTGACTTGACCTTTTGACCATGTTGACAAATGGTTTGAATACTCTGAACAAATGATCATGATGATAGTGTCTCCATTTTCTTACACAGAAAAAATCACACACAACAAATGTGGTCCTAATTATCCACACCACTGCTGGAATTGGGCATGGTGTGAAAGTATATGCAAAATGTTAGGACTTATTATTTTTGAAATGATTGAGACATGGTGTAGTCCCATGGTGTAGCATTGGAGGTGTGATGAACCATGCCATTGACAAACTTGCAATGGGTGAAGATCAACTGGGTCCCAAACCAACTCGTTCCAAGTCAACCCGGTCCTAGGTCAACTGGGTCCCAGGTCAATACAAACAAAGGTCGGATAATTTTAAAAAATCCTGTCCAGTATTTTGTTCATGTACCTAATTAATGTTGCACAATATGATTTCCACCCCTAGTGCCTTGCTAGAGCATTTTCCCTTAAATTTACCATTGACCTGGGACCGAGTTGATGTGGGGCCGAGTTGATTTGTGACCGAGTTGACTTGAAACCACATGCCTCACCAATGTATGCCACTTTAGCAGTGTTTTAGAAAAATGTGGAAAAATGCTGAAACAGTTTTCTTTACAACATTATCTCTGACATATCATATTCCCACGGTTACTTTACAGCTTTGGCTACCAGTGACTCTACTTGGACACAGAACTGAAATGGCAAAGTGTCTGCAATGATACTGTCTCCTACGATGAGGTTGTTCTGTCTTGGTAGTGATTTTTCACATTCGGTAAGAATTCAATTTTGTTTTACTAGCGGCATTCCTTGGATTTATACAACTTTTAAAGTTCTTCAAGGGGAGGGGGGGGAGGGGGGGAGGGGGCACTAAAGGCAACTGATTTTTTTTTTTTGGCAATTCGAGATTTGAAAATGGCATCCAGCTACAGCTAGAAACTGAACTTTGAAAATGTTGGAAATTATTTGGTCGAGAAAATCACAGTTATACTTTTTGGAAACAAACATCCTAAAAACTTTACATTAATCAATGTGCACAAGAAAGCATGCCCGCTTTTGCAACAAATATGTTTTTAGAGTAACTTTTTAAGTAAGGTACAAATAATTGTCATTATTTGTGTGAATGGTGAACCCATTCCAGTTTTATAATATGCTTAATTTAATTGATTGGGTTTTTTTAGTACAACTTCTGTAACTTATTGCAGTTCACATTCTCAATTGCAGAAAAAAATCCTGAACCCATCTTTGAAAGTCTCCCTTGATTAATTATTGGAGTCAGTCTTTGTTTAAAATGAGCTTGTCCCCTTTGTCCCTTGACAGTTTCATCATTTCTAAATTGGTACCTACCCCCCCCTGCTTTTTAAGATATTCTACAAGGTAAAAAATTGGGGTCAGTTATGCACAATTTACAACTTGCTAAGCGTGATCTGAATATCCAACACCCTGTTAACAAAATTCTGCATACGAACTTGTAAACATAAAACAAGCCTCTTGGTTTATCATTCATCAAACAAGCATTTTTGTTTATTTTTCTGGATATTTTAAAATATTAACTGCAGTCCTTGCAATGATATGAAAAAGTAGTCCTTTAAATGTAGACCTAGTGTTTTGACAAATGGGACTGTTTGTATATTCCCGTTCATTCCATTTTTCGTACTGTACTCCCATACGAAAGCCACAAAAGAAGCCATCATTCCAAAAAGACCTCGGCGCTGCCGAAATATGGGTATCGATAGCGACCGAAGAATCGCACTATACTATGGACCGAAAGCACAATGCGAGTAAGCATTCGCCCATGCAAACGAGTATTCGATATCTAGAATGGAATAGCGAGTCCAACGGTCATTCAGGACAACGAAAATAACAGTGATTTAAATTTTAAAAGTACATTTTTCTCTTAAAATTGCATATGCATTCCAATAATATTTCTGTGTTGTTCATGTATCCTTTGATTTTTTTTTCCAATCAAAAATAATTTTGATATAAAAATATTTGAGGGAAGTTGAAGAGGTAAATTGGTGGATTCCATTTCTAAAGGTTTCCTAAAATTCCACTTTGTTATTATTTAAAGTTATTATTTCCCAAATCCCCTTAAACTTTGAAGTTAATTGTGTTTTCTTTCTTCCAACAAATGTAATTGACTGGATTGTTCTTGTCTTCGATACAAGTGTCATTATTCGTTTGTCCAACTTCACCGTAGTGCGTCGTCTGCTAGCGGGGAAAACCATCAGCATCTGCAATTTATTGTAGTGCGCATGCGCACAGTCATTCAACTAGTTGTCCGTTGGTCTTATGGGCCATGAACATACATGTACCGGTATGTGAACTATATCACTGAGCACAACAGAGTTTGTGATTCCCAAAAAAGCTGTTAACTGTATAAGTGTATTGAAAACAATAAACATGCTTTACCTGAGCAGTGCTTCAATAAGACGTGGTCTCGACGCACTGCTCCAGTCACCATGGCCAAGACATCCTTTACTACCATCTCCACAAGTCATGACAATACCATTGTCACTTCCAAACACACTGTAAGATTCTCCACAGCAAGCCCTAAAATAAAAATAAAAAGATTTAACTCAATGTTTGTAAACGATAATAAGAATTTATTTAATTTCAATTCTTTTCATCTAGCCCAGCCTGCTCAAGATTGCTTTACATACACACACAAGAAAGGCCATATTAAAATTCATAATATTCAGTATCATTGGAATGGAAAAGTGACATGTACCATTTATGCAAACGGTGATAAGTGAGGATATGGAAGGTCCTCTGTTAAAAAAAAGAGTGTATATGTACTTGATTCACTTGGGGAATGGGGAAGGGAATAAAGAGATGGCAGCACCTTTTCACGGTTACATTGACTTTGAAATGTACTTTGATGGAGTGCGACAGACAAGTTTATGGCACTGCATGGCCTTCTTTGGTTTTCCGGATAACATATCAGACTACTCAAAGCATTATATGATAAATCAGTGAGCCCAGGTTGGTGTGATACAAGAGTATTTCAGCCCAGTTGTTCAATATAATGCCCAAGTAAATGAAACCATCTTTATAAACTACCCGAGATTTGCTGATGACATCGGCTTGATAGCTGAATCAGGAGGTCTAAGGAACATGATATCTAGTGTCTTAAACGAGCTCTCAAATGAGACTACGGAGTCTCAAAGACACAAGTCCAAGTGGTTGGACGTAGCGCTGAGCAAATCAACATTAAACATGCACATCAAGCTCTTGAAAAAGTTGACTCTTTCAAATACTTGGGCAGTGTCATTATGGGTGACTGATTAAGTGAAAGCAATGCCAAAAGGAGGACTGGCCTGGCATACATGCTATGCAGACCCTCCACCCACTCTGGCATGCCAAAAGAGCAACCAAGTCAAAATCGACCTCTATTAAGCTCCGTTCCTTTCCTTTGTTCTCTATGGTTATGAAATTTGGATTCTGCAAAAGAAAGACACAAACTGTCTGACAAGATTTGAAATGTCCTGACTCCGTCAAATTCTGGAAGTTACAGAGCCAATCTTTGACAGAACGACTACCCAACATGTACTATGGACACATCATGCGCATGGATGCCAGGATATTCTTTTGCCTAACCTACATGTATGCATTGACAGACACAACAACGGAAGTAAACCTGTAGGAAATCAACCCAAGAGCTGGACAGACAGTCTATGGGAAAGCTGCCAAAGCAAGGAACCAGGAATACTACACCAGGCCCTGCTACTCACACTAGATCTGATACTGTGGAGAACTTTCACCTATGGCTGACACCTTGAAGGACCCTAGGCTCATGCAAGAAAGGCATATGTCAAGTAATTCTATGAGTAGATTTGGTACTTGGGGGATGAAGACAATGAACATATCTTATCTACAAATTCAAATAGAACTTAGTGCAAGATCAACCCAAAAAATGGTCAATCAAAATAAAGTTTACCAATTCCTATTGGTCGAGACTGCAAATGTAGGTTACATACATGTATAGTTTTAAACCGCTGTTAAAAAAACTGTTGAGATGTTTTAAAACCCTCTACTACATAACACAGACAACAAATGTCTGCGTTTATTAGGTGTTGGGCCTCAGCCCAACACCTATTGTTATTGTAAAAATTTACTATTATTAGGTGTATTATTATTATTATTTTTTTTTTTTATTATTATTCTTCAAGACACATTTCTTCTCCGGAACTGTTTGTCAACATGAAAAGTCATATGAACTTTAATTGTCAATACATGAATGCACAACCCACTGAAGATGTGCTTTTTTGCAATTACGTCATCATGACGTCATCATGGGTCACGTGACGTCACTTCCAAAAATAATAAATTTAATCTTTGAAATTCAATAAAAAATCAACCGTGAGAGACCGCAACTTGAATTTTGCGGGAATCGACATGATAATACATGCTCTTCAATTAATCTTGTGTGCGTAAAATCACATGACCCTTCCTTCCGGTCGAAACCGGAAGTGCCTAATAATTCAAAAGTGGAAAAAGATATGAACTTGCTTTCAACAATGTTAGCCTGTTGGTGGGTTGATCTTTCCAAAAAAATGATCGGTGACGCCATCAAGTGTTCGAGCGCCCTCTAGCGGCAGGTTAAAAAATGTCCAAAATGCATTTTCAGTTGATGTCTGTGGCGAAATTTGCGGTAATCGCTTCAAAATTAATATACATAATGACCTTAATGCAGACAAAACCTGTGCGCGAAAAAAAAATGATTACGTCATCAGACCGGAAGTTACAATGAAATGACCTCTTTTCCTTTGAAAATTGCTAAAAAAACAACCGTCAGAGATATAATCCAGTTCTGTGCTTTAAATGGCACTTCAATAATAGGTCTAAAACTTCTTAAGGTTTCGTTACAATAAATTTACTAGAGGATGCCCTGCAGCCCCCTTGAAGTTTGAAGTTGAACACACCTACGCATTGAAACGCTCATTTAATGCCACGTACATTGTGTGTACAGCACATGGGGATAATTGCGTACAAAGGGAAAATCCCGAAAAACAGTGCGCTGCGATTGCGTAAAAGGGAACTTCCCGTCATATGATGCTCAAAAATTGGGCTGGCAAAAGCGCCCAACTGGGCGCTTTTTTAAATTGGGCGCTTTTTTTCTAAAAACATGCACATTGGGGTCAAGAGGGTATGGCGAGCAATATCTTGTATTGCGCAAATGTTGTGCGACCTTTAGTTTTAGAGATATGAGCTATTATATGGGTTTTTGTAACAATTGTACTATATAAGTTTACAGTACAGCAGCATACGCGGGTGCAGATCCTCACCTGACTCTTTTTAACTATCCTTTGTATAATTACTCCACGCGCTATTTTTCAACCCTCAACCCTCAACCCTCAACATCAACATCACCAATCAACAATCAACATTAACATAAACAATCAACATCAACAATCAACATCAACAATCAACAATCAACATTAACAATGAACAATCAACATCAACAATCAACATCAACAATTAACATCAACAATCTGACATTCAACATCAATAACCAACATCAGTAATCAACATCAACAATCACCATCAACAATCAACAATTAACATCAACAATCATTAACAAAAACATCAACATCTACAATCAACAATCAACATCAACAATCATCAACAATCTACATCAATAATTGTTAATCAATATCAACAATCAATTATCAACAATCAACAATCGACATCAACATGAACAACTACCATCAACTATAATCAACATCAACAATCAACAATCAACATTAACATCAACAACCAACATCAACAATCAACAACAATAATCAACAATGCGAAAAAAGCAAAACCTCTAGCCCAACACCGTGTGTTTGTCCTCAAACTCTAGTTTTTTTTTATTATTCTTCTAGACACATTCTTCTCTGGAACTGTTTGTCAAAATGAAAACATATATGAACTTCAATTGTCAATACATGAATGCACAACCAACTGAAGATGTGCTTTTTTTGCAATTACGTCATCATGACGTCATCATGGGTCACGTGACGTCACTTCAAAAACTAATCAATTTAATCTTTGAAATTCAATATAAAATCAACCGTCAGAGACCGCAACTTGAATTTTGCGGGAATCGACATGATAATATATGATCTTCATTTTATCTTGTGCGCGTAAAATCACATGACCCTTCCTTCCGGTCGAAACCGGAAGTGCCTAATAATTTGAAAGTGGAAAAAGATATGAACTTGCTTTCAACGGTGTTGATGTCTGCCTGGATTGACCTTTCAAAAAATATAATTGGTGATGTCATGAAGAGTTGAAGCGCCTTCAAAAATTGCTAAAAAATCAACCGTGATAGATATAATCAAGATTTGGCTAACTATAGCACAGTTAAAATAGCTCTTGAACTTTCTGGTAATGACGTCACAATGACGTCATCAAGTATCATATTACAAGCAATCAAAGATTTCTAGATTTAATCTACGAAAATCAATATAAAATCAACTGCTACAGATTTGATTTTGTTTTTTATAGCAATCGATACAATATTGCAGGGTCTTCATTTTTGGTATTAAGTGCAAAATCACTTGACCCTTCCTTCCGGTCGAAACCGGAAGTGCCTTATTATTTGAAATTGGCAGAAGATGCGAACTTGCTTTCAAAGATGTGTGTGTCTGTCTAGGCAGTACTGTACAAAAATTTTACAGGTGTCGTCATCAAATGTTAGAGCGCCCTCTGGCGGCATGTTGAAAAATTCAAACATGGATTTAAACATGCATATTTTGAGTTGATGTGTGTGGCAAAGTCTGCGGTAATCCATGGCCCAACACCGTGTGGTTGTTCATACAACCTCTAGTTTTTATTCAATTTGTCTTTTTAATAGAGAAACAATTGTGTTTGGTGCTGAGGCTAAAACCTTTCATTACATATGTTGTCTACCTGTTCACATATTATTATCTCATTCACGTACATACATACTTGTATGACTGTGCGAGGCTACGACTACCATACACACATAGCCGAATGAGGCCTGAACAGCTATACCACCACAATGTGAGCATGCAAGGGTAAAACCAAAGTGCACCAAAAAAAGGCAAATGTGATTATGCAGCATTTGACTACTTTCACAATACTGAGATTGCCAATACCCTGTGCGAATATTTCATGAATGAATTTAGCTTCAATGACCAATGACTCGTCATTTAGTATTAAAATCTGGCACATCTGGAGAAAATAATAATAAAGATGGCGGAAGTGTATTTCATTATGAAAATTTAGTTATTTTACATCAAGCTATGGTGCTCAAATTTCACTTGAAGCTACTTTAGAATCCAAATTAGATGGAAATTCCATTTCCACTTATTTAAAATTGGTCTGAAACATGAAACTTGCGAGCGCTATGACAACTACACAATCACTAGAACACCAAATGTCAATAAGGATAAGAACTGTACAGCAACATCTCTATCATACCCTACCCTTTAACGCACTGTCCACAGCGACAGCACATTCATCTGAAAAGACGCCACTTTTTCAGCTAACTTGGAAACAGGGGTTTGTTGGCCTTTGTTTTGAAATCAAAGGTGCTCGGT